CCTAGACATTTTAAAGGTTAAAGCGGTTGACATGTGATTTTTGTTTTTACAATTAGTTTAACCTTAAAATGATACCTATTTTGTAATAGGATGACAATTGATGCTAGATTTGTTGAAATATTAGGTTATGCAGTATGTTGATATTGAAGTTTTGTGTTATAGATTTGTTGTCTTCCTGTATAGAAAAATTGCTTGCAATGGTGCTGTCAATGGATTAAAAGTGACCAATGATGGAGTGTATCTCCTTAGTGCAGGTTGACATCACAATTCTTTTCAATGAGCTTTTGTATTGCTACTGCTTGGAATTTATTTATGCATTGTGACTATTATCCTCCACTTAAGAGGCTGAAGGTCTTGTGCCATTATTTATTTTAGATGCATGTATGACAATGTCTACGGTCTGGTGCATGTTACTGTTATCTTTCTATAGTTGGTCAATGGTGAAGTGCAACTCTGGAATTTATACAGCAGATTATGGTGCTTTCTAATCTCATTTTGATATGCTTCTCTAGCATTTCTCTAGCAAAGTTGTTTATTTTGGGCACTGTTTTTAAAACCATGATGTAAGATATTGTTTAAACACTCTGCAATAGGACGTTGGGTAGAGTTATTCCCCTTGTGATTAAGGGAGGGATGGACAAGCTTTTGCGATCGACCAAGATAATTGGAGCGACTGAGTAGCTCACGAAATTTTGAGAGTCAAACAATATAAATTTCAATTTTGAGAGTCAAACAATATAAATTTTAACCAACATTTTAAGATGTATTTTTCATCATATTTGATATGAAGAAGGTTGCAAGTTGTAAGACTTTCCGTTACGAATATCTAGTGCAACATGACAACTAAAAAGTATGTTGATAGTAATAATAGAAAACAAGTAATTTGTTCGTCCAACCTGACTTTCATTTATGATAAACACTGAAATGCAACACAAAAAAAGAAAATAGATTACTACACATAATCCCTATGGCATGTTTGACTCAAGCAACCATAAATTTGTAACTGAATACTCTTTCACTGCTACTTTCAGATGTAGTAGGCATCACTATTAAATTGTGGTGAAAGGATGAAGCCACCATCATAGGATGAGTAACAATAGCTTTGCAATCTCCGTGGAAAAATGAAGTCTCGAAATAACCCTCAGCATTTGTAGTCCCAACCAAATCCTCATGTGTTAATGGCACACAAATTTTGTCAACAACATCTCCAGTAGCTACATTCTTGAAGTTGTTATCAGTCAAACACATTTTGTAACATCCATTTAGTGTCCATTGCTCGGTGTCCACGCCGTGAATTGATTGACTTCAAGTCCACAATAACACCTCCTCTTTGAACTAGAAGAGACATTCGACCCCTCAAACATTGTTAGAAAATAAATTAATTGAAGGAGATGATAATGGAAGAATTAAGTTTGAGGGTTAGGGAATGTGTTAGAACTCATCCAATCGCCCAAGAAGTGAAAGAGGGTGAGAAGGATCTTAGGGCTTTTTGGATTGAAAAATTGAATGAAAAATTGGGTTACTGATGGGTTATAGGAATTTAAATTTGGGTGGGTCTTTACTTGGGTGAGTTTTTTGTTGGGTGGGTTAGTTTAATTCAATGTTTGTTCATGACTTTTGATTTTTTATTAATAAAAAAATAATGATGTGGCCGAATTATAATTGGCCACGTGTAAAAAATGGTTTTGCAAAACCACTGTTAAAAATAATGGCATGAATGAGCCTTTTCTTAAACGGTAATGGCATAAATAAGCCAAACTTTTAACGGATGGCATAAATGAGCCTTTTCTGAAAGTTCGATGGCATATTTGAGCCTTTTCCCATTAAATAAATCAAGCTAATGTGGCATCCCTCAATGACCACCATTTCTATTTATCTTTTTTCTCCTTTTAAAAATATTTTTAATTCATTTTTATACCTATTTAATAATTAAATAGACTAATAAAAGACTCATCCAATAAATACATAATCAAGTCATGTAGTAATCGAGAATGATTTATGACCTCTCTCAATTCGTCAATAAAGACTGAATAATGAAACAACATTATTGTAGACAAATGTCCAAAAATCTTTACAAAAAGATATCAATGTTAAAATCAATTCTTACTATTTATAAAAATCAAAAACTCTTTATTTTTATTTTTTCACTTAAAACATAATAATTCTGCATTATTTGATTATAGAATTTGAAAGGTTTCTGTACCACTAAAATGAGAAAACAACTATGTAAACAATATTGTTATTTTTCTTCTTTTGTCCTCTTCTTCTTTTTTCATTGAAATACTTTGAATTTGTATGACAAAAAACTGACAATATTTCAAGAAAAAATTGATATTGAGGGATTTTGCTTAACATTAAGAGAAGACAAAAAGGAAATATATAAAGTACTACGGGAGAGAAAGAAAAATGAAAACAAATAAAGAGGGATAAGAAAAATAAAGATGTCAAGAAAAAGAAAAGGCTCCATATATATAATATTGTCAAATTAAAATTTAATATACAAAGAATGGTTCATTTATTTTGTTCCATACAAGTCTTAGTATGTTCCATGTATATAATATTGCCAAAAATAAAATTTAAATTCAAATAATGATTCATTTATTTTGTTCCATATATAAGTCTCAGTATGTTCCATATATATAATATTACCAAATTAAAATTTAATATTTAAAGAATGATCCATTTATTTTATTCCATATAAAAGTCTTAGCATGTTCCATATATAGTCTCCCTAAATTTATAGAGAATAATAATAAATTATTTAAATGACAAGAGATATTATCTAAAACAAAAAAGAGGGTATTTTATTTTTAATTCATTATAAGTAGAATAAGAATGGAAATGACTTCTAAGTTGTCATACAAATTCAATTTATAGTCATGGGAAGAATAGAAGATCACTTCCCTAATATACGCGAATTGGTTCTTACAAAGGAATAAAACATTTATTAATTTACTTAGTAAGTACATAAAGTGGAGAAATAAAAAAAAATACATAAGGAATGGAGAAAAAAGAAAAACTATGTTGGAGTATATAATATATATACTGTAACAAAATAAAATAACAATAAAAATAATATAATAATAATAATTTAAAAAATATATTGTAACAAAATTTTGTAATGCTTCTATTTATAAGACAAAATATGAATATCTAATATGTGTGTCTATATATATATACACATATATATACTGGTTTTTTGACACGTGCATTGCACATGAATATCAATTCCAAATATATGTGATGGTAAATAGTATTGCTTATTTAAGCGAAGATTTGAATAATAAGCTTAGCAAAAAATAATATTGCAGATTATTTTGTAAATGTTCAATGTGGATCGGGAGCGTTATTACAAGTCATATGAACTTTTCTTCGTCTAAAATACTAAACTATTAAGAAATAGTAAAAAAGTAAAACAAAAGGGCAATGTTTATATAGTAATAACTATTTTGAAGCAAAATTTCCGAGAGTCTAAATCACATAAGTAGCATTGATAAATAAAGTTATTCATTTGTCTTGAGCATAAAAAATAAATCGTTACCATTCTCTAAATTTTGAAAAAGATATTAAAAAGCATATATCTATATCACAAGAGAAATTGTTAACAAAAACAAAATAAATTTAGATTACATCATTTGGAACGTTACATACTAATGTATATATTAAGCAAAAAAATAATTATTATAACATCAAAATTATTTTCCTCAAGTACTCGAGGTTATGGAATATACCTTCTTAGGATAGAACGACTTACTTCATCAGAATAGTGGTACCTCATATTCCGCTAAACTTCGAACTCACTCAACGACAATAAATCACACAAAAAAATTTAAAATGCAAGAAGAAGAAGAGTAGAAGATTAAAAAAAATTGTGGTTGAAAATTGAGAGGAAACCATCTATTTATAGTCAACAAAGGGTAATATGTTTTTTTTTAATTCGACACCATCTTTTAAATATTTTACATTTATCAATTACTCAAATATATATTGTTTAAAAGTTATTTTATTTTCATAAAAAGATGGTATAATAAATTTAAATAACTTTATACGATTGCGAGGTCAAATTCACTAGTTATTTAATAAACACATGATAATTAAATAACCATAGTTATCAAATAGCTCAAAATATCCATTTAAAATTTTATGGAAAGAGTCAAAATAAGTCTAGTGCTCAAAACAGCCTAAGGAATCATTACACATATAGTTCAAACCATAGTCTATATGCATGAGGTGCTACACAAACTATTTACACAAACTATTTAACAGAGGAGTAGTGAATTTAGCATAATTAAAGGACTTTTTTTTTTTATACTTATCCATATAATTAAACATTACACAAATAGTTCCAGCCATGGTTTATAGGCACGAGGTGCTACACAAACTATTTAACAGAGTAGGGAATTTTGCATGGACATTTTTTTTTATGCTTATCCGTATAATTTTTATTTTTTTATGACAAGGAAAACTCGCAGCCGCTACCCTTTGGGTGCGCATAGGGTAAAACCCCCGCTCCTATGCAATAGCTCGCAAACCACATAGGAGAGGTAACCCGCACTAGGCAAGCTTGATGCGACGAGCTCGACCCAGAAGGCAAACCCCTTGCTTTCGCTGGCAAGGGGTTTCGAACTTGAGACCTCCAACATGGAAGTCCCAAGCTCAAACCACTAGGCCCCGAAGGGTTTATCCGTATAATTAAACATTACACAAATAGTCTATAGGCACGAGGTGCTACACAAACTATTTAACAGAGGACAGGGGTAGTGAATTTGCATAATTAAAGGACTTTTTTTTTATACTTATCCATATAATTAAAGGACATTTTTATACTTATCCGTTTAATATATGCAGAGTTAAAAGAAAGAGAAAAAGCGAAGTTTAACTGCTGATCGCATTTTACATTGGCTATGCACGTTATAATGGTGCAAATAAGACCTCTATCAAAGGGGACAAGAGATATCAGAAGCAAATGAGTAACTAAAGGTACTAGAAGAATATAGATATTCAACAAATAACTGCTTCTTGAGAGCAGTAGGAAATAAGAAAGCATGTTGTGCTTGAACTTACATTATTCATATGCTAGTAAACAATGAACATTAGATTCTTATTAGATACCAGGTTCAGAAGTGTGCTCAAGGCACGCGACACTCGGCAATGTTCCAGATCTCTTTTGCATATTGAGAAATTGTACGGTCACTACTAAATTTGCCACTCCCACTAGTGCTCAGTATAGACATCTTTATCCATCTTTTCCTGTCCCTGTCAACGTAAAGGACCCAAAACCTCAGTATTCAAGTTTCCTACCAAAACTTCTGATGCACAACATAAATACACCCTCTAATAAGTAAAACAAGTCATAGCAGCTTAGGTGGGCGTCAAACTGTGTATTACAATAACTGAAATCATTCATCATCGGTATGGAATGCCAATCTGTGTATAATACTCTGAACAAACATTATGGATTGTCAAGAGGCTACCAATCATGTCAGAACAAACTCAAAATATCACCAGAAATGAGCCTTGAGATACAGTGCCAAAGGGGAACTTCAAACCTATTTGAAGAAATTATTGTTTTATTTTCAATTTTCCCAGATTCTTCAATAGCTTCTTTGCTCTGACCGGATTTAAATGAATGAAAGCAGTACACATATATGGAGTTTACTTCATAAAAAGGCAAGCACCAGAAGAGCAATCCAGTTCCATAAATGAATAACTTTAAGCAGTGAACATTTTGTTGGAACCAAACAGTACAAGTTAGTAAAGTAGAATGTCTTACTTGTAAGCTTCATCAATCCTTGCCTGAGCATCCATGTAGCTCGGAAAATCATGACCAACAAGAAAATAGTCTCCACGACCATATCCCGAGTTCCCTTCCAGTGATTCAAGGAGGGGATTATAATCATATGTCCCAAATGCTCCAGACCTAATAAATTGTTTCGCCTCTTCAAACCGAGGATCAGGTTTGAACTGCATATAAGGATGAGAAAACAAGTTACTGGTACTACTTTGTCTGATAGGAACAAATGAGTGTATTCTATCTAGTCTACATGGGGTAAAATAGTATTTCAACTGCAGTAAGCTAATCTAACAGACAACAGATTTGACATTCCTCCTATGTATTTTGGGCTGGTCAAACCAGAAGATACTTCAATGAGGAGAACTCTGACTAGTACTGTTCCATGTGACTTAATTTGAGGACTTCCACAGGTTTCTATCATGAGAGGAAGTAACTCAGTCATATAACTACATTTTTCTTTGACCTACTGATTTTTCAAGTCAAACTAGGACTGAAACCGAAAGGACCTACTGTCAAAGTAACCTATTTTCCCAATTTATGTGGTAAACTTTCCTTTTTAGTCCGTCTCTAATAGAATGCCATCTTTCTATTTAAAAATAATTTAACTTTAAAATTCCTATTTATCCTTATATAAAATGATTTATAGCAACCACACAAATATCAAAGGTTTATATAAGATCACAAGTTCCAAAAGTCTTTCTTTAATTCTTAAACTCTGTGCCCAATTGGAGGGAGTATTAATCACGAAGATCTCTACAGAAAATGAGAAGTAGTCTTTACCGCACATTCAATCTCAGCAAAACAGCAATCGGTACCATGGCCTGTGATGAAACTAAGCACTCTATGATATGATAATTTGGAACAAAACAGCCAAGGAAAAATTACTTCTCACACTTAAAATCCACGACACATGGCAAAGTGAGTAGGCTAATCAGGTGACGAGTTTTAAATTAGCAGCAGGGCAATGAAATAAGATACGTCAAATGTTAATAGATCTAAACCAGAAATATAGGTGACTTATCAACTTTCAATGTAGAGTAAATACTATATCTGTAGAACAATACCAGTCCATTCTCTCGATCTTTGCGCAGTTGAGGAACTTCATCAGCTGTTGCACCAAAAAGAAAGAAGTTATCTTCTCCAATTTCCTCCCTAATTTCCACATTGGCCCCATCTAGTGTCCCAATGATAAGGCATCCATTAAGGGCAAATTTCATGTTGCTTGTTCCACTTGCTTCCATGCCTGCAGTACTGATGTGTTGTGATAGCTCACTTCCCGGAATAAGCATCTCTGCCACAGATACATTGTAGTTGGGAACAAAAACCACCTGGAAAAATCAGCCAACCTCCTATTAGGCCAAAAAAACGTACTGACAAATGCATGCTAATACTGCCGCATTACACTGAAATTAGACGACAACATCCACACTTAAGCGTGAATCCGAATCTTAAAGATGCGACTCTGCATCAAATTAAAATGTTTTTGTTTAGTTTAATCTTATTCCATACTAGATCTTTGAAAAGAGAAATAGCATCGGAGAAATACTATACTGAAGTATCACTTATAGCTGAAAATAGGAGACTACAAGAAAGTAGGACTTGTATTGATTTCATTTCTTTTAAATGACTGCAATTAAAATCCTTGCACCCTTTCAGATTCTCTCTTTCCTCCTCTTCCCCCAAATATATACAGAAGTCCAATATTCATGCTCCACAAATATGACAATTTAATTTGATGTGCTGGTTAAAGATCCACAGAATTTACCTTTCATACAGCAAATAACTAAGGAAAACAACCAATTCTATTCAAATTAGTTAGTGCTCCAACAGTTTATGTATATCTATCCCCTGATCATGACCATTATAACTTCTAAACAGAGGAAGTTAAATATATGAAGAAAAAAACGTTTTCTAAACTAGTCCTCGGCTGGTTAACAAGAATAAAATAAGAGAGAAGGGCCAAATTTAACCCTCAACTTTGGTTTATAGTTCACATCTACCCGCCGCTTCACTTTGCATCCAAATATGCCCTTGCCTTCAACAGAGTAGATATATTCACCCCAACCCTAACGGAGATTCACGTGGCATAGGACCCAGCACTTGAAATTGCCAACTGAATTAAAATATTCCATATTTTTTAACTGACCCTCTTTTTATTTGACCCAAACCCAACTTCTTATTTATTACGCAATGAGACTACCACTACTGTACACAGATCGTCATTGACTTAATGGCAAGTTAAAGCAGCAACTGGCCAATCCAGCATTAGCAATCATATAAGCCATATCAAAACATATTCAAGATAAATGAAGCTGGAAAGATTGTGCTGACAATCTAGAACCCAAGGTCTAATACTGCAAAGGATTTCTATAAACAAGTTATAAGGTACGGCACTAAATTGCCAAGACTAAACAGGTATCCTATTTCAATCAAAACATAGCACAAATTTGTAGTCACATGACAGCAACTGGACAGTCCAGCATCAGTAATCAAATGAGCCAATTCGCAACATATTCAAGAACAATGAAGCTGGAAAGATTGTGCTGACAATCTAGAACACTTCTAACAAGAAGAAGGCGCTTTACCGACACAGGATAATGAAATCAGCGATTTGAGATAACAAATTTGTTGAGTTTTTATATTATCTAAATCTTAATTCAAGATCTTATGGTGTTTTGATGATTGACAAACATTGTACAAGTGACAATCTATGCACAAGGAAAATGCACAAAGAAGTACAAGCACCAGGTCCTTAGCAGATGTCCAAAAGGAATTGGTGAAGCTGGCAACACTACAGAGGAATTGTTGAGATAACTTGTTCCTTCAAACAAGAACTTATGATTGTTTCGTTTACGCAAGAAGAAGCTATTCCATGCGCACAAAAGAAAACATTGAAGAATTGTAATTAGCCTTCATCTATTCCACAAGAAGCTAAACTTCAAGAGATGGAAAGTTACCAAAACTGAACAAAAGGAATTAGCTTAGAAATAAGAGAGGTTTGGCTGACAAGTCGAGCAAGGATTGGATTCTTGGAAAGTCTTGAACCAACTCTTGGTTGAATTTGAAGAAACATGAATTGCTTTACTTCTTTATAAGCTAACCATCAAAAAAGAGAGACTACACATATATAGAGATAATCTATACGAGAGAGTCCTGAAGAGAAGAGTCAAGTGCTACAATGAAGAACATGCTCCTATCAAGTATTATCATTATTGTTCTAAGTTGTGATCGTTACATTCTTGTGGTTCCAAAACTATATACTTTTACATTCCTAGAGATTTGCGTAAGTACTGGTTTTATAATGAGTTGTAAAGGGACTTCTTAGACTGGATAGAGTCTTTGAAGAGTTGGAGAGTTACCAACAATCATGGAGAATTGTTGAGGATTGGGGTAGGAACTGTTAGAGTCAGTTCCTTAGGTGTACAAAGGAGTTATAACCTTAAAAGTTGTTCATGTTATAGTGGAGAGTTTGGGGAAATCCTTTTGGAGATAGGTCGTGGTTTTTCCTGCCCTTGACCAAGTTTTCCTGGTAAAAATCTGTGTTGATTTATTTTTTTCGCACTTCATCTTCTTGCATTGTTGCTGAAAGAACTTGGTTCTTTCAGGCAGTTGGTCGCAACAAAAATAACAATTGGTATCGGAGCGGGTTCTTTCAAAAAGAGTTAACACCTTGAAAGAATAAAGATAGTTGTACTTGCAAGAGTACAAGAAGAACAATCAACTACAAAGGCACAATGCTTCAATGGTGGCAGGTGGAAAGTAATAAAGTCAGAAATCAACACCACAGAAGACAAGGAGCTATGGGAAAATGTTCAAAGATCCCCACAACTGCTCATGATAGAAGGATTCCCCAAGAAAATGGACCAGACTCTGATGAAGAAGAACTGGCTCTCTAGCAATAAAAGTCGAAAGGATAATCAGAAGGGGGCCCTTGAATAAAGAAAAAAACCCAACCTACAAAGCAAAGATAGAGGGAACTCAAAATACATGTCATAAGTCGGAGAGTCATGACCACTCTACATGAGACTCTCCTAACAAAGAAACTCAGTTAAGAAGAAGCCTAGTTAAGAAGGAAAGCGGGGAACAGGTCCCTAAAAGCAGAATATTTGCAAGATGTTAAGTTCTAGCTACCAATAAAGAGCCAGCAGGCATGGAAGAACCCTTAGGAGATGAAGTGGATGATGAAGAAGATCAGTCCCTACTGTCCATGGAGGACTGACTCAGGAGAGAACTTGGCATTTATGATACCTGACATTTAGTGCCACTCTGCCTCGGATTCTGAAGAGAATTATGCAAACCCAAAGGAGAAACAGGGCAACAACATGTCGTATGTAGACAGTGTTTGTTCCATACATATGACATGAGACGAAGGAAACTTTATCTCACTAATGCCCTACCATGAAGGAAGTGTAGGATTTGGCAATGGAAAGAAGGCAAATATAGTAGGAATCGGAAGATCTCATTCCCATGCAAGTGAAAGTGAGTACTGTGTCAAAGGCCAAAACCATAATCTACTGAGTGTCTCAGAAGTGTAAACAAGGTTACCAGGTCCTATTTTCATCGGAAGATTGCCAAAGACAGGGAAATGGTTCTCAGAGGAAGACAACACAGAAATGTCTTCATAACAGATATCATGGGTCCACCCCAGAATCTAGATATAAGTGTACATGCACATGAGACAGACTCTTTAATATGACATAAAAGACTTGGGTATGCAAGTTTCTCACTATTCAACAACACTGATATCAAAGGAAATGGTTCTTGGACTTCCAAAGTCAAGGTTCAATGAAGATAAAGTGTTGGAGAGTTTGGGAAAATTCTAGTGGAGATAGCTCGTGGTTTTTGCCTCCCTTAAGAAAGGAGTTTTCTATGTAAAGATGCTTGTGTTGATTTACTTTTCCGCATTTCACCTTCTAGCATAGTTGCCTGGTTCTTCCGGGCAGTAGGTCGCAGCAAAATAACAAAATTTCTGTTTTGAGGGAAGATGAAGATGGAGTTTTATTTCAGTCTATTTTTGTTCCAGCAGTATAAATTTCTTTTAGCCCTATATTCATATTGTATATGTTGATTTATTCTATTCTAGGAAAAGGCATAAGTACCCCACTACTGAGCTATACCAAAAGTTCCAGGGAGACACCTTATCTTTTTGGGGTCCTATTACCACTAAACTTTTTATAATGGAATACATATCACCCTAAGTGCTTACATAGCATAGAGAACCAAAATATAATACATTCAACCAAATCCAAATGTTAAGATGAGGAAGATACTAAATAATAATTTATAGATTCTTGTTTCTTAAACCCCAATTTTAATGTAGATAATGACTGAACAAAAAATCAGCAAAAGCAGACCCAAATTTCTGTAACAAATTTAATTTGTATTATTATTATTGTTGGTTTGGACATTTTTCAAATCATTTAGAGACAAGTACTGGATCATTTAAAATGGTATATGTGGATGGATGTTCTCAAGGTATTCTAACTTTGCAAATTGTAAATTGCTATTTTGTAAATCAAAAATTTTAGACTATGCAATTATTTGTTTTTTCTTATATATATATGCATGTGCTTCAAACTAGTAAGAATATAAACATCAGCACTTTACACTCAATACACAATACAATGTGCAAGTTAAACACATTCAGTATCCTTAAAAGGAAATATCATCTGTAGAAGGTAATTTAAATTTTATCAACAAAAGAAAAGTAATATTTGGTCAGAAAAGAATCTAAAGCTCTCCCTACTTAGTGGGGGGACACAGGATTGGAAGGAGGGCATGTTATGAAGGAGAACTGGTAAAAAAGATTTAGCAAAACTATACACGCATACATTTACGATATCTCTTGAGATATTTAGGAAAATTCTCAAACTTCAAAAGGTAAAAGTTTATTTTTGATTCAGTTTGGGAGGGCAGGCACCAATCCTTAGACCTGTGCATACTTCTCATTAAACCACTTACCTTCAAATAGTCATTGACGTCAGGGTCACTATTGACAACGTCGCCAACATCAGTCACGAGCTTGACAATTCGTTTTGCATTTGTGTATGTTGCGAATGCTTTTCCTCCAATCATGACTGTGCGAGGAGTCGTATTTTTCCTTTCTTCTGGGCTCATTCCCTATAGTAATGATACAGGTATAAGAATATCATTACTTTCTAAAAGATGGAATATCCCAATCTTGCATCATCTCAATAATCTCAAGATTTCATCATGTGCAGAAAGGAAACCACAAAAGTAGAAAAGTTAAAACTGAATATGATCCTTATTTTACTTGTTAGATCATTGCTGGCAGTGACAACGATCCTGAAATATTAATGCCGCTAAGGAGAAATAACAGAAAATGGAAATTTGGCAGTTTCACGCACCTTAAGCTTCTTGTATCTATAGATGACGCCCAGAATATTTAGAAGCTGCCTTTTGTATTCATGGATACGTTTGACTTGTATGTCAAAAAGGGAATTTGGATCGATGCTCACACCTGTCACATGCAGTATATACTGTGCCAAACGCTGCTTGTTGGCCATCTTGGCTGATTCCCATTCAGCATGGAGCTCCGAATTATCAGCAAACTTTGCAAAATGTATAGTCAATTGCAATATCATTACCCACATGAAGGAAAATGTTCAATGTATGCAAGCTTTTACGATAAATGATATGTTACACACACATACACACACATATATAAGATACCTCCCGAAGATTAGCAAGCAGTTCGAGGTTCGTCACCCATTGATCTGTTTTTAACCACTTGGTAATTATATGACTCAGCTCAGGACTACAAAATCGGATCCACCTACGAGGAGTTATACCATTGGTCTTATTCTGGAACTTGGTGGGCCATACAGAGACATAATCAGCAAATAACTCAGCCTTCAGGATGTCACTATGCAGCTGGGCAACACCATTTACCTGTCAGATATGGCTAACGGGGTTATGCTTCTCTTTTAAAATTCAACATGAACTTTGAAAAGGAGGACCACTTTTATATGGAGATTCTTATTTTTGTCCTACTAATGTGTAAGGATTTGAAGACTTTTATTGTGCATAACTTATTCTTCAAGTTTTCACTAATCAAGACAAAAGAAATGCTATCAGCTGTTTCATACTTTTGGAGTTGGCTAAACTGAAACATCACTAATGGCATGCAGCTCTGGGTTATGCATCGATAAAATTAAAGCCAGGGGATTCATAGAAGGTATTCTATAAGTGGTTGATATTCTTTTCGTTTACGTGTACTGAGATGCAGTTAGAAAAAAAATCAAAGAACGTTCTGCACAAAAAGAATTATTTTGATCAGAATTAATTTATTATTTGATTGGCATCAAACAGCTTCGCATGAAATGAATTATTCGTTTGAGAATCTGGATAAGTTTACTGGAGTTAACTTATCAAACACTCCGGTGCATAGTATCTCTTACCGTATGTGAAGAAACAACACACAAGTTAGCCATATGCACAACAGGCTTTGTGGCGTTGTGATCCAAAATGCGCATGCTAGGCATCTTATTCTCAAGATCAGGTCTTTCTGACATTATTGTAGCAACAAACTGCAAGAAGTGTCAAATATACCTTTTAAGTAAGCTATATTTTCAAGTATGAAGAAATAAACTGGCTGGTTCTGTACCCGTTTGTCAATTTCTTCAATGATTTCCATATGTCTAGGAAGGAGCTTCCACATGACTGCCTGTGACCATTTTTCCAGTGCTTCAGGTAGGACTGTATGATTCGTATAGGCAATTGTCCTGGGGATATAATGCATCACATCATCAAATTCATAAATTTGCAAGATACAGCACCAAGACAAAGCAAGCAGAGGAACCATATCGATGTATTACTCAACACAGAGCACCTTACTAGGCAAAATAAGATGGTAAAAATCACCTAGTAGTGATATTCCAAGATTCATCCCACCCAAGTCCTTCATCATCCATTAGCAACCGCATCAGCTCTGGAATCGTAAGAGTTGGATGTGTGTCATTTAGTTGTATCGCAACCTTCTTGGGGAATTCAGACCACTGGTGAGAACCCTTTCCATCTTCTCTCTCTTTGAATCTGGCAATAATATCCTGGTGTTGATCCAATAGCCAGTTACATAATCAAGTAAAGAAGGTTATTTTTCTGACATAACAGAACTACCAAATATCACAAAACTCTAGGTCAAATTAAATGCTAATTACCTGGCTTTAGACATGATTTAAAGTTGAACAAAGGCATATATACCTATTAAGAACCTAAATAATTTGGAAAATAGGCTTTTTGGAAAACTTTTAATAACTCAAATATTCTGACAAACAGGTCTCTTGGAGACTGGAACTCTTAAAAGTTCCCAAGAAAATTCAACATTGTACAATGTTTGATGGAAAACTTCATTCTGTTTGGATAAAACATGGTTCGTCTCTGTATAGCAAAATAATTGTGAGTGTTGAGATTTGGTTTAGGAGAATTGATTTTGAGGTTCTCTTAAAAGGATTGGTTTTGCGTCTATTTTTGTTTGTTTGAGAGGGTAGGGGTTTGGGGGGGGGGGGGGGGGGCGGGTATTCCAAACTGACTAAGTCATTTTTTTCATGAAACTAGTTCAAATGAACAAAGTTTTTCTTTCGAAATTCAACAACGTGATGAAGAGCTCTTTTTGGCTCAAACCTATTGAATATTGAGGATGTTTGGGATTGAGGTGTAACCAGTGGCTCCAGAAACAAGCAAGAAACTTCACCCAAAACTAATTAGTTGAAGAACAGATTCGAAGGCACAAGATCAACATAAAAATATAAGCCCGAGGAAAAAAAATGCTCATTAGTATCATCCCATTAGACTGACTTCCTAGATAAGACAATGCCTTAAGATATGGTATTAAATGGAACAGGAGCAGAAGGGAGAAAAGGAAACTGTAAACCTGAAGCGATGCACTGCACAGAAAAAATTGTTGCTTTAGCCGTAAGAGTTTTCCATTCTCTGTAGCATCCCCAGGGTAGAGAACAGCACAAATCTGCATGGACAAAACTTAAACCACTCATCTCTTGAACAAGGAAAGTGAGTGTCAATTCAAGGTAAAGCGTTTCTATCTCCGGGTTAGCCTTACAATATTTAACCTAATAATTTAACTCCCCTACTAAGGAAAAATAGAACAGTTAGAGCTGTAAAGTTCTCTCAACAAACCTGCTGAGCCCTAGAATGAAGCTGTGCAGCAGCATCATACTGTCCATCATTAAACAGAAACAAGTTGAAATCCTCAGAGCTTGCTTTGGCTTCCCAGAGACGAAGACTATTAGTGTTTTTAGTTCTGTATCCTGGAATTGGCACATCATATGCAAGAGCCTGTAGGACCTCTCCACCAACCCATTTTCGCCTGCGACAAATTCCATGAACAATTGAGTTTGAATTAGAGAGCATTGTGGCTTCAAAAAATTCAATTTGACTCATTTGTTTCTATAATACTTTTTTTCTTTTTGAAGAAGTCTGTTTCTTTAAATACTTTACCACATATATAGTTTGTTTTAGTACTTACGAGCCAGAAGGGAGGACTTCAACATGACCAAAAAACCTGATAGGAAAGACAACATCATGCCTTACAATTTCCCAGGGGCTAAATTTCTGCATAGAACACAACCAAGTTTGATTAGTAGCATCTAATTCTCATGGTATTTAACAAAGGCATTTATATGAAATCAGACCTCCAACCAATCTTCAGGAACTTCTTCTTGCCCAGCCTTTGTGATAAGCTGCTTAAAAAGTCCATATCTGTACCTCAAGCCATAACCCCATGCTGGAAGGTTCAATGTGGCCATGGAATCAAGAAAGCATGAAGCGAGCCTTCCTAAACCACCATTTCCTAATGCTGCATCTTTTTCCTATAAATAAAAGATAAATTATAGAAAGCAAAATAATCTACCATCACTTTCTGGTGGCACTAACAGAAATAAGCCTCTTGAAGTATCTCAACTCCATTTCAGAAATAGCCAACCAAAAGCTCAAATAGAAGGTTAGATAATTGTTGATTGATTACTTTCAGAAATAGAAAATGGAGAAGATTGAGGATAGCAGTACAGAGTGATGTAATGGACAAATCACAACACAAAGTTGGAGAATACAGTAGCATTATGTGGTGAAGTCTTCATCCAGCAATATCCAAAATTAACAAGGTAATATCACCATAAAGTGTAAGACTTAGACTTGGACTTGGGGAGAGAATCTTTTCACCCACTCATCCAGCCTTCATCTTAAACCCGTTCTTAAGAAAACTTGGCAATTAGATTTTTTGTAGAGTATATTAGAAACAAAGTACATATAACCCGCTAATTTATCCAAAAAAAGGATCATGTAACTCACTATGCAGTCATTAAAGGTTCAGCCTACTGATATCAGAAAAGAGGCTTTTGTTCGGGATCGACATTCACTGAAATGGACATCGCTTTCAAAGCTAAAGTGAAACCTACTTTATAAATGTTAAGATATTGTCAAAGAGTATTTTGACTATTAGATTTTGTGTAAGATAATAGTCATAAGTTGTAGGTAAGTGGGTAGGATAATAGTCAAATATTATAGGTATTGTAGGTAAAAGGCATGATCCGATTAATATGCTCTTGACCTTTTGTGTCTAGATTTGTGTATATATTCTAGGTGTAATCTATCATTTTGAAGTATGAAGTGAAAATAAACTTACATCATTAACAAAAAACAACTAAGAAAAACTAAATAATATCATTGCAATACCTATAGCAGATTCAAGACAAAAGAAAAAGTATAACTGTCACAAAGGATGAAGAGTATTCAACTCAAAACATATTCCACAATCCAATTAATAGCTTGACAAGCATGGATTTGGGGAAGGTCCACCGAGCAGTTAATTCAATAACAAACCATTGAAGAAAAGCAGAGATTCCTAAGGTGTTAATACCTGCTCAACGACCTCCTCAAGCTGCTGACCCAGTTTGTTTAAAGCATCAGCATATGCATTGTGGATGTCTAAGTTTCCAACTGCATTTGTCAAAGCTCGCCCCTGGAGATACTCCATTGATAAGTAGTATGTTTGCTTTGGATTAACTTTGTCATAATGAAGATAGGTGTCATTCCATTGCTGCAAAGGAAAGAGACAAATAGGGACACTGAGATTAGAAATCAAACTTCCATGCTTCAATGTTAGGAAGGAAAAGGTTGTAATCATAAACAATACGTCTAGATTTGAAAAGAATTTGAGAAAACAAGTTGGGAAGAAGTAACTCACTTTGATCAAGCGATCACGAACACTGTCAGCAGTAGCAGCATAGTATGCTTGTAGTGGCTCAAACTTGAAAGGAGAAAAATGAGGAGTATATTGAGCATGATACTTGATATTAGATGCAATGTCAGTAGGGTCTTCAGAAAGTGGTTGAGCAATAGGTGCTGCTGACACATCATTCGATTTTGCACCACCTTCCATGGAAAATAAACCTATACCACCAAAATCTTCAATTATATTTTACTCTACTCTTTAATAATAAACCATAACATATTTCTTGAGAAACAAAATTGTTAGACACGAAATATGTGATAATAAAAGTAAGAATCATACTTAATTAGCAAGGGAATATCTGGTAAAAAACAGTCCAGAATCGAAGATTTTTCTTTTTTTGTAGATTCTAGATAGTGATGAAATGGGAAAGACTGGAAGTGGGAAGAATGATATAGAATATGCAAAGAGGATATTTTTTATTAAGAGAATGATAAAAGAAGATTGCAAGGAGGATATTTTTTCCCTTTTATTATTTTATTATTTAGAGAAGAGAAAAGAAAAGAAAAATAAAAGAGCTCTCACCCTTTTCCCTGGGGAAGATTAGATTATTGTGTATTGATGAATGAGGGCAACATAAATAAATATATATTGAAGGAGAAAGGAGAAAGACAAAAGAGTGATTATCTTGATTTGGACATAAATCATCACCAACACATGTGGAATGAACGGAGGAGAAGAATAGCAAAGCAACCTACAAAAATAATAATAATAATTGAATAAAAAGAGGAAGAAGCAAACAAAGCGCCCCAAGTTTGGGCATTCAATGAAAACGCGCCGGGCACGAGATTTATGGTGAACGTGTCACGTTGGATCCAAAGTACCCACAACTTTCCATTCTTTCTTTTCTTACTTCAAACACTTCATCCTCATATTTAATTTCCAACTAACAATTCCTATTTCAATTTCCTTTCTCCTCCTTTACTTTTTTAGCGGTTCATTTTGATATAAATAAAATTGGAGTATTTGAATAGATAAATATTATTTTAAAAGATTTACGAGTTTTTGCAAGATTTACGTAATAGGAATAAAATTGTCTTCCTATTAACAGTAGCAGAAGACTGAACAACAATATTTTTGTTGACGAGTTGCTTCAAATTGGACTTTGAATCTCAAGAAACAAAGTACAATACCACAAATTGAATATCTTTTGGGTTGTTTGATGCCAATGTAAGGAAATTAAGAGTCTTAATATTTTTCTTTTTCTTTCTATCGTCTTTTTTTTTTTTATTGTTTTCCCCATTCTTAAGGGTGAAGACTATTTTAAAGGGAGTGGGAGATACAATTGTCACCGTTCTCTCTTTTTTCAAAATAGTCTTTTTTACGTTTATCTTCTTTTTCAGAAACTGTATTGGGTCGGCTCATGTCCACATGGGCGACCAACGACTCATGACCCAAAATTAACTTACATCTCCCACTTCCCACATGGTCGACAAGACCCAAGCCAATTAGACATCAATTAGACACCCAATTTCATACGATAAACAGTTAGTGCGATCAGTGAGCATCAAAAGATTACCTATTAGGTTTTACATGCTCCGTATAGGAATTTAATCATATGTGGAAAGAATTCACTACTAATATGAGGGTACTATTGCTCATAATACCTAGACTTCATCCACTAATTCAGTAGTTACTTATTCGATCACTCATCCTCTCAGGAGGTAAACTCAAGTTCATATTTAGCTTTATATACACAATTACACTCGAGTGTAATAGCCAGCTTGTGTATACAAGTTAAATGTCACGGTCCAAAGTAGACCCTAGGTGTAATATGACGTATAGAACCCCGAGAGGCCCTACACAAGTCACTTAGCATACATCGTACAAGATAATATAAGTAAAAAAGTTTAAAAGATATCATTCCATACAAAAGAATTTGACAAAAGCGGAAGTCTAAACATAAGTCTCAAGGTCATCTATTACATCATAAGGAAAGTGATTGGGACATAATTCATACATCACATAAAAAGTCGGAAATGGAAATGACATAAAGTAATAAAGGAGTCTCGGTACTCGGAACATGAGGACTCACCCATTTTCAACCAAAGCACCCAAAGGATGTCTAGCCAGGAGTGTCCGAAATAGGAGTGTCGGACCCTACATTAGTGAAACCATGTAGGCACAAATATGCATTAGTACATGGAATGAACTAAGTATGATAGCAATGCATAATAATTATGAAATCATGCTAAAAGAGAATTTGCATGCCATGCAATGACCAAACTAAATCGTAAAATAACATGTTAGAAAACATAAATCATAATCATGGTCAATGCAAGCAAAACATCTTTAAAACACATTTGAGAGATACTTTTAGAAAGAAGTCTTAATTCGTTATTGTGGGAAGTATGTCATTAATAGACATAGACCATGTGAGCTATAACATGAAATATAGTGTCTATCCCACACCGAAAAGAGATGTCCTTACTTTCCAATGTAAGAACCATAAGCTTGAGCTAAAGTGCATCCACTAACTAATTTCTATCTAAGACAAACCTATTGTGGCACATAGTTATCGGACATAGGTAATCGTCGCTAGTTCACTGGTGCTAAGCATCGATCTCACGAAGTACTCATTAATCATATTAATCTTATTATATATGGAAAGGCACAATTAAGTATCCACTTCAAGCTAGAGTTCATTTAGAATAGCTACTAAATCTTGATTCAAATTTTGTAAAGAAAACATTTCAACCCAATGAATCTTTCATGTGGGAATAACCTTTCACAACAACAATGTTGATGATTTACTCTCAAAGCAGCCTTAAATCATTCATATCATATTCATAGAAAGAACATGCATATCTTCATAAATTCATAATTCATAGTGTCACGACCCAAGGGTATCCCCTAGATGTAACATGGCATATAGGACCTCGAGAAACCCCATACAAGCCACTTAGCCTTCATAACATAAAAATAGAATAAAATAAGTAAATACAACATTCCACGTCCAAAAGTTTTATAAAAGTAAAGCGGGAGTGTAAAATACTTGTCTCATTAGCCATCTAGTACCATAGAATGAATGTAACGACCCAAAAAATGAACTAGTGGAACTAGAGCTTAACGTGTGTGCGTTTGAGTTTGATGTGACGTTTGATGGTGTTTGATGTTGTCCCGAGTCATGATTGAGGGGTTTAGGGGTCAAACGTCAAGGTATGACTCCCCAAGGACCACCTTAGGGGTCCTTGAGAAGGACCCTAAGTTTAACCCCCAAGACCCCTTGAAACTAGAAAGTTTGCCAAAACTGTGTGACCTACGGAAGGGGTCAACGCCCCGTAGGTCCATCCACACCACGTGGATAGCCTCTGTAGGTCAAGGGCCCCCAAAACAGGCCACAACCATGAACCACAGAGGGACAGCACAGAGTTGTCAACCCATCCACTGTCTATGGATTGGGTGGTCGTGAATTGGACCTGCAATCTGTCAAGGTGACACGACCAAGTGTAGAAGTGAATTAGTAAATTCACCCCAAGTCCTAATAAGTTGGGGGACGGTTATTTTGGGTTTATTTAGGTATTTTAAGAGTATTAAAAATATTAAACTCTATTTTACATTCTATTATTTCAAAACCCCAAATCAAAACCCTTCCCTCCCACAAAGGTTCTCTCTAGAAACTCCATTGGAGATCAAGGTCAAGTTCAAGCTAGGGTTGGGGATTTCAAGGTGTTTCTTCTTCAATTTTTGTGGGGAATCAATACCAAGGTATGGTGGTCTTGATCCTTGTCTAATTTTCCATTCAAGGAGCCAATTCAAATGTGATTTCAAATCATGAAAATCTAGGTTTTTCACTCAATCTCATGGGTTCTTTCATCAAACAATTTTAAAGGTTTACTAATGCCAAATTATTATTATATTGATGGTTAATTGATGATTTTAATCCAAGAACCCATGATTCCTCTTAAACTATAAATAGTGTCTTATGAAGTGGGTTTGTTGATCATTAATGAATGTTGATGAATTATGTCTAAATTGATTTAGATTATTGAATTGTATCATTATATATGTATAATTATTGTGAATTGAGGATTTGTGATCATAGCCTTGAAAGGGCAAGTTTGACCCAATCTCATGTTAAAGTAGAATTATGCTTGAATTTTTGATCCACTTGAAAGGTGGAGGTGTTTACTTACTTTGTATATTGATCCGCTTGAAAGGTGGAGGTGTTTACTTATTATGAACATTGTGATCATGGCCTTGGAGGCATAGTGTGGGTAATTGAAGTATTATCATGATGTTGTATATATGAATGTGATGTAAAGCATGTGTGTGATCTAAAGAAATAAAATATGATCATGTTTAGAAACTAATAGTGTTAGGATTGAATATTATCTCTCTATTAACACTTGGGAATGATGGTGATAATGTGAAAGGCTATTCTCACATACACATACACACTTGAATGAATGAAGTTCAATGATAATGTTAATGAATGTTGAGTCTATTGAAAGGCTATTATGAATTGTACTCTAATGAATGTTAACGAGTTGTTGTGAAATTACGTTCTCACAATAAGGGGGTTCTTAGGTGAAAGGATATTCTCATCTTTGAATCTATGAGCTTTCCAATGAATACATGAATGTTGGATTTGGGATGGATGCTCATCTGGGAGTTTAGGCGGGATATCTAGTAGCAATACCTTATCCCATAATGAACTAATGTAATGAATGTAATGTACTCCGTGGGGAATAATGCTAAGCACCGAGTGGATATGGTTTGAGATGGGTGCTCATCCAGGAGTTGAGGCGGGGTACTTAATAGCAATCTCTTGAGATGGATGCTCATCCGTGAATTGAGGTGGGGTATCTAATAGCAATCTCCCTATCCCATAACTATGTGCCCACATAGGTCTAGCTAGTGGATCCACTTAAGGCTAAACAAACGATGGTCCTACCTTAGGTAAGTAGAAATCCCTTTATCCGATTAGGGTGACACTGGGATTCTATGTCAAGCTCACATGGTCTATGTCGGTTAAGTCTTACCCCCACAATAATGTAAATGAACTATGGCTTCTTAAGGATGTACTACTTAGTTTGGGTGGTGGTATGGGGAGCCATCTATACATTGCACAAGTAGGCATTTGAGGGAGGTCATGGGTGTGTTCCTTTATAATGTTAATGAATGAATGGACTCTTATGATCTTATTAATGAAGAATGTTAATCT